TGACAAACTGCCAATACAGCACTGCTCATTTATAGTTGCCGGTCAGAATAAAGCTTTGTAAGTGTGAGGTTAAGGGAGGGGGGTGAGCCGATTGGGTTCGTGAGATTCTCGAACTATTTCGGTCGAGTCACGTGGTACAGTCGCCGGTGTTGCCAAGTATAACCTCCAGCTGCGTGAGTTGTGGTTCAGGTCACGCTCTTAAATGACAACACTGAACTGCTCTAGATACAAACGTCACGTAACCTCTGCCAGGCTGTAGCTAGAGGCTCCGGCTAAAGGCTGTCTTCACCCTGCTGTTGTGATTGGACGTTTTACTTTCCAGCGAAGGTAAAATTTCAAAAGAAAATAAATGGACTACAATGCAGTATGTACTATCCTATAAACATTATTTCTCAGTGGCAGTACTTTGTAACTCGATTAGTTCCCGTATCGATATTTTCCTTCTACCCTGTGACAGAAGCCAACCGATAAATTTGGCATCGAGTACAGCAGAATGTTTACTGCTGAGTGGCTGACTGGATATTTCCGTTCTAGTTAACACAGCAAAACTGTCTTATTCCTCACTAACGAAACTAAAAGTGACTTATAAAAAGTCACGGATGACACATGGCGTCGAATAATCCATTCGATAAGATATCACAGATAAATATTTGATAAAGACGTGGCAATGTTTTTTTTAGCTTGAAACGTTTGTTGTTTATAAATAAATACTCTGTTGACGAGAATAAATTTAACATTAAGTAAGGAATTAATATCTTTGCTTCTACAGCTTAAGGACGAATGAGGAAAATGCAGGCAGCCAACAATTAAATATAACTTGATCTCGTCTCATGTATGTAAACAGAACGTTTAAATTCGTAGTAGGACAAAAATTTGAAATACAAACAATGGCAAAGCATGATTTTAAGATCTAAGCTAATTCTGTGCTGGAACAATTAAAATGTTCTAAACCCTTAGTTTATTATTATTATTATTATTATTATTTAGTGTTCTGTCTGACGACAGGTCCATTTGAACAGGATCCTTCCATCCTTTTCTCGGACTGGGACCTGTTCATATACGTTCTTGGCAGATGATCCAGAAGTGGTTTGCCATTGCCTTCTTCTGTGTGTGAATGGAGTAATTGTTGGGATGCCACGGAGGAAAACTCCGTGTTGCCTAGACCACGGCCTTGCCCAACACAAGTTATAAATTCGGGCACCGCCGGGAATCGAACCCGAGACCCCAGGATTACAAGGCCAGCGTTCTAACCGCTAGACCACCGTGGCTCTTAAACCCTTAGTATGATTCGATAATTTCATATCGATAGACATTCATAATAAAAGCATAAACCTCGATCGATACCGAAGTGTTTATACACGAAAATGTCCATGTATCATTTTAATCGGAATAAAAACGGAGAGAGGTCCAAGGCAGCTAAGAGGGCGAATTAAACGCGCAGTTCACTACACACCAAAGGCTTGTAATTCTCGTCACATTCAGTGCAGCGTCCGTAGTATAATTCTAATATCTTGTGAACATTTCCTGTGTAGTAGGAATATTTCTGTACATAGTTCATCTGTCTGATAAGATGGACTTTTGCAACAGTCCGTACCGGGGAAGAAAATAAATACACACAACGTATCAACTGGATAATGAAGTTTAAAGAAACGCCATCTTACATTCAGTAGACAAATCTCAGAGTTAGGTTAGGTTAGAGCTCGGCTTTAAACTGTTAAACAAAGAATCATACACACAAATTACGTGCTATTTTTCAACTTGCCTACGGATTTAATCTTGAATCACTGTCTGAGTTCATCAACATGAAATCCTATCATAAGTTTCTCTTCTTTGTCTAAGATAATGTGAGTAAAATTACAAATATTTACAGTTACCGCATTTCTTATATTGATTTTTGAAGAATGTATACAAAGATAATGTTGTAATTTGTATCTCGGCAATAATAAATCTGGAATATCTATGTATATTTTCCTCAGGTACTCCATTTTCGTCACACTGCCATTTTATCAAACAGTAGAGACTTATTTTCTATACGTTTCCTGAAATCAATTTTTTCCACGTGTTTCCTACACACACACAAATACATAATCCCTTATTTATCAACTTGGGTTCTTCAAGAAATACCTCTAGCTTCTCAAATACTGTAAAAGTTCCATAAACCTGTGATTAATAGTTTCTCATATAAAGGTATATTTGTCTGAAAATGAACCTTCAGTCAAATTATGCGTAAAGTTGGCACTACGAAAAACGAGACATTAAAATCAGAATTTCAATCCTTGAGAAGTACTTCAGACACAAAATGATACCATATTTCTGTAAAACAAATCCGAAACTAATAAAATTAGAAAACTAATTGTTTTTTCACTCCAAACCATCCTTTAACGTCTGGAGGATTATCGTGCGCATCCATTTACCTGTAATATTTGACGTTTACAGGTTCCGTTCTCGGTGGTACAGAAGGAAACTTAATTTTGGTCAGTAAGATTAACATAAAAACCTTGCTTGACTTCAAGACGACTTCTTTTTACTGTTTAAAATTTCTGAAATAGGGATGCGTCTTATAACCGATGGCGTCTAACAATCGATACAGCGTCTGTTTCCTGAAAACTTATTTCTAAATCAATGTTACAATCGATAGTGTCTTACAATCGATACAGCGTCTACAGAATCGAATGCATCTAACAATCGATACAGCGTCTTTCTTCCTGAAAAGTATTTCTAAATCAATGTTACAATCGATAGTGTCTTACAATCGATACATCGTCTATAGAATCGAATGCATCTAACAATCGATACAGCGTCTCGTTTCCTGAAAACTCATTACCTAATTAATGGATCGCGTTTTAAAATCCAAATACAGTAATATTCGAGATGCGTTATTTGTCGTGCCATTGATTCTTAATACGACACATTCCGGTGCAAAATTTGCTCATTGTTATACATTACTACTCATACATTATTTGGTGGTATTAATATAATTCCTAATAAATGTATATTATTATATTATTTTACTGCAGAATATTAATAAAATGTCTGTCTTGTGGTGTATGTTCTATTGTGTTTTGTCAAGTTTAACATTAACTGGATGGTTGCAAGTTTCAATTCGCTGTCGATGTGTGAAGACATCGAATCAAAATGATACCGTATATATTTCCACAATTTGTCGTTAAATATAATGCAAAATTTAGTCTTTTATTGTTGAGGTGTAATAAATAGTTGACACTTGGCATTAAAAGAGTTAAACACAAACCAAACATTGCCAACATTCTCAAAAAGTAACTACTACAAAAAAAATTCCAGGATGTAAAATATAGTTCTCATAATGTCTTTAGTTCTTATAGTCCTCAGTTCACGACCGACTGCATGAATATTAATTATTTATTTTAATCCGTCATATCACAATATTTACAATTTCTTATAATTAAGATAATAAAATATCATTGATGTTCCATATCGATTGATCGATTTACATTTTGGAACATCCTTTACACAACATGTTTCAGTTTTTATAAAACCATCTTCAGGTGTAAAAGATTTACGAACTTAAAACTCAAATATGATTCCATTTGGTGATGTTTCATGCCATTTGTTTTTCAATTTTGGGCGAGGTGTTGTCTTTTCTTAAATTTTATCAGATGTACAAAAAAAAAATTAAGAAAAGACAACACCTCGCCCAAAATTGAAAAACAAATGGCATGAAACATCACCAAATGGAATCATATTTGAGTTTTAAGTTCGTAAATCTTTTACACCTGAAGATGGTTTTATAAAAACTGAAACATGTTGTGTAAAGGATGTTCCAAAATGTAAATCGATCAATCGATATGGAACATCAATGATATTTTATTATCTTAATTATAAGAAATTGTAAATATTGTGATATGACGGATTAAAATAAATAATTATTAGAATATTCACAATATGACGCAATTACACTATCTTATGCATGAATATTATTAGGCTTTTGGTAGTCATGATAATTACTTTAAAAATGATAGCGGCCATTCGAGCAGACTGACCAGAAAACAGAATAAGCGACGTGTGATGGACTGGCTACGTGATTTTTAAGTAATCAAAAAGATGGCCTACCTTGAAAACTCTTCGAAAAAATACGGCTGAAGGAACGAAGACTGTCCTTGTGCAGTACGGAAACATCACACACTGAAACTCTCTCTCTCCGTTACTATCTTCGGCACACAGGAAACCCCAAGGGAATTTCCGTTTGCAGGAGTTGTCATTTCGCGGATAAACAGAGCAGGATGTTTCAATGTTGTTCTTAATCGGAATTAATTCAGGGGCGTTGCATTGTGTAAACACGAGGTAAGATTCCACGTGGGACAACTCATATTAATGAACCTAAAAGGATAAAATTTTCACGACGATGGATAAAATTGCATAACGCGGAGATCCATGATTAGTACTCGTCACCAAAAATTAACCATTTGAAGCTTAAAATAACCTGAATAATATTTAAGAATTCAGCCCGTACCGCATAGAAAACACTTCACCATTACAAAGATCAACTGGTTAACCCTTTGAAGCCTAAGCTCGTCTAAATAATATTTAAGAATTCAGTCCGTACCGCATAGAAAACACTTCACTTCACCATTACAAATAATTGTTAACGCTGTTTAATTAAATAATCGCTGTTTACAATAAAAATCGTACAAAACCCAAAATAATTCGTTACTGATTGTTAAAGTACGTGGTACATATATATACCACTCGGCTTTAAAAGGTTAATACGATGATCAAATACAAGATTATAAAGTTGGGGAATGTAGCACGCATGGTCCAAGTGATAACTACACATAATATTCTAGTTAGAATCCTTAAATGAAGATAACATTTAGAATATTAGGCGTAAATAAAATTATATTATTAAATTACGTCTTTTTAACGACGATTTCAGTGGCACAGATAATTTACACACGGGCCAGGGGTAGGATAATTTTAAAAAGACTGGAAGTAGCAGTGGTTGCCTAATTTAAGGTGCCGATCCTGCATTTGCCTACAGAAACTGAGAAAATCCGCGAAACACCTCAGTCATGAGTGACGTACTCCGGGTTGGGATATGAACCCGGTAATTTTGAACATAAATTAGAAAAATTGGATATTGAAGGAGTTTAGGAGGGTGTATAGTGGAATATTTTGGATTAGGTTAGGTGCTAGCGTGGTTTCTCTACACTATGGGGTCAGTGATATGATTTAATGGATACCAAATCACGTACCTTAAAATATGGCACAGGATGAAACAGAAATATTAAGGATATTCACTGGTGATAGATCGCAGAATCTCCATTTTTCAAGGTCACGTCAAAATCGTTCAACGTTGCAATAGAAAACAAGCGACTGAAGGTAGTTCAGAAATCGCAGCGTAGCGACGCTCTACAGTTGACATAGAGCAGCTCGGAAAGGCCCTACGTTGCCATGAAGTATGCGAAAATATTAATTTTCCCCGTAACTTTTCGACTGGAATCAGTAGTTGATAAAGCAACTTCGTGGTACAAGATATTCTATAACAGTTGAGAGTTGCTCAGCTTTCCAAGGAATTTTCATAATTTCATACAACCCAAAGATTCGCCACAGTGATTTATATACGAGGTGCGATCGGAAAGTTTCAAGACTGTCAATAGAGGGCGAACCGGATGTAGTACGAGCTTCTGCCGCTAGGGGGTGCGGCCTACATTCATAGTAAATCAGTGTGCCAGCCGGCATCATCCAATTAGCATTTGTTTCTTAGTTACGGGCGTTTTGGTAGTGCATTACACCGACCCTCCTGCGATTTCGGAATGGCGTGTGCATCAAATTTTGCCAAAGACTCGCCAAAACGGCTACGGAAACCTATGAAATGCTAAAGCAAGCATTTGGGGAAATACTTCGAAATGGGTCGTGCACAAACTTTTGTGAGGCATTC